AAGTACATATAATTTCTCCCTTTCCGGGGCTTCTGAAAATAAAGACCTGCCCATCTGCAGTGGCTTCTTAGCCCCGCCTAGACTCCACAAAGAGGAAGCATGTGACACACACATACACAGCAGTCCCATTAGTCCTGTTCCCTCTGGCTGGCAAGAAGACATTCAATTGTAATCTCACTAATAGCTGTTTTTCCTTAAATATTGTAATTTTCTGAGCCCCTAATAAGTCATCAATAATTTTGCCCATTTTCCCCAGTTTGTGTTTATATTTGGAGCTGTTCATAATTGTGGGCTATTACGACAACGGGATTTCTGAACAATGGTGGTGCATGAAATCCTAGCCTTCTCCTTGAACCAGCTGCCTGCACAAAGCCAGCAGCAGCACATGGGGGCTGTTCTGCAACATGCACATTTGTCCTAAATTTTGAAGTTTAATGGTCTGCCTCGAACTGGCTCCAGTAACATTCCTTTAAAAATACATAGCAGTATGTGTGCTCTCCAATTGGAATACTAAATGAGAGTAAAATACAATTAAATTAAGTTTGAAACAGAGATATTACGTTGGCACCATGAGTCAACATAAAGGGGAAGAACAGGTGGTAATACACCACAATAACACTTTTGGATATTTTGCTGAAATTCTCTTGATGCCCAAAACGTGCATTCTAAGGGGTACGTGTGCTTTGCGGGCAATTCCGGCAAACTGTCAGAGAGGGGTTGCCGCGTGGCACAAGGCAGGCCCAGCTGATGCAGTACGTCTCTTCTGTAAGCGAGGCGTCTGCTCCCACTCACCGAACCCCCTCCCTCCTTGTCCCTGGGATGGACTTGCACCCGTATATGGCAAAAACCACCCTTCTCGGCATACTCTGTGGTTTCACTATCTTTATTAAGCAAGATCATCCTTTTAGAGGAAAGGATAAGCTATGCTGAACCCCTGTCAAGTCAAAGGAACATAAGGCATGGGGACAAACTATCTCAAGTGATTCAAACTGATCCCAGTACCTTGTTTTGGTAATGGTGCTCGAGTGTTAAGATACTAACCTCTCTGTAAGAGAAAAAGTTATTTCTATTAATATATCTCCCTAAGTAATCTTAGCACAATTTTCTTTAAACAATGCATTTTGATTATGGAATTGCTTTATAATACTCAGTGAGTTAAACAGGGTCTGTGCTGTGCTAAGTTGCTTCAGTCATATCCAACTCTTTGCGACCCCACGGACTATGGTCCACCAGGCTCCTCTGTCCATGGGGTTCTCCAGGCAAGAATACTGAAGTGGGTTCCCATTTTCTCCTCCAGGGGAGCTTCCCAACCCAGGGATTGACACTGCATCTCTTAGGTCTCCTGCATTGGCAGGTGGTTTCTCTACCATTAGGGCCACCTGGGAAGCCCCCAAATAGGGTCTGCTATTATATAATCTCATTTTTTATTTACAAAACACAGTCTTCAAGCCCCCAACTATTTCTATTAAGAGAGAACCCAAAGACAGACTCATTACAAGTCACGTATTAAATTGGAAACAAAAGAGAAAGAGGAAAGTGTTTTGTTATCACAATATACAATTAAAAAGCCTTAAGTATTATGTCGTAATTGTGACTCTACTTCCATTAGAAAGGCTCAGAGCTGAGTTTGAAAGACAGAATGGGAGTCATTTCTCTTTTTAGCATGACACTGGAGAATAGTGACTCTCATATTCTTTGGGTCTGTAAAGACCTTACCGGGTCAGATAAAAAATGTGGATTATCTCAGTGTTCCCCTCTTGGTATAATAAAAATAAAAGACTGTATTATAATAGAGTTAGTGGGGAAATCCTGAAGCTTTATATTTGCTGCCTTGAGGAGCTACCCAGTTTTCATCATAAGAACACTATTCTTTTCTACTAGAAACATGGGTACAGGCACTGACCTTGAATTGATAATGTAAAGAATTTGATCATGGGCTAGGAAAGAGCTATGTAGACCTCCCCCATTTAAGTTCCTCTAGTAAATGTGGGAAGTAATTAGGAAAAGGTATCTAGCATTAGAAAAACAGACAAGAGGAGTCAGATCGGTGGTAGCACTGGCAACTAAAATTTCTTGACATAAAACCAAAGAAGCGCATGTGAGCCTTAGAGCAGCACCCCCAGCTCACTGCCAGGTTGCAGAAGGGATCACTAATATCCTCTGATTACAAGTTGCCATCACAGTTACTAGCGAAGGCAATCACCTTCTGGATGTCTCCTCTGGGAAGTTCTATCTCACAAAGCAAGAGTTTACAGCACTGTGGCCTGGCCCCGACCCAAGAATACACACAGGGGCTGTCTGAGCAGGGAGAGAGGTACATCCTGGTGCCTAGACCACGGGCAGAGCAGCACAGGCATGGGCCTGGGCTTCCTGGTGGAGGTGCACTGTTTCTCAACCTGTGAATAAGCCCCTGCGTAGAACCCCTGTGAATCTCCAACATCAGTGGGGAACCACACTTTGGCTTTGGGAGTGTGAGAGCAAACTGATCCAAAGTAGGATAGAAACCTGCTCTGAAATCTCAAAAAACTATATTAGGTTTTCAGTGGAATCACAAGATACAATGTCAACCACTCTATCTGTGAGTTGGGTATTTTAATCTCACACACAGAGATGGTATGTTTTCCATCACTCTTGCAGCAGAGCTCCACACGGAAGGCCTGTGCTTTTCTATGAAGTCCTTTGCTGTGACTGGCAATCTTGAAAAGGACATAATGTGTAGAGATTTCAGACTGTATAGGACAGCTTTAACTTACAGTAAAGGGGGGTTGGAGAGAATTGGAAGAGTAGGTTTAGCTAACGTTTTGTTAGCAGTTGGTTTTACCATTACAGCTATAATTGTTTTTATAAATTGGTTAGAAAAGAACTGTAGGTTGAATGATAAGTTCTAGTCATGGTGTGTAGTCTTAGACAAATTAATCAACGAATGGGACTCTGTCTTATTCTCTGCTCTCCCCTCAGTGTCTAGAAGTGCCTGGGGCACACAGTAAACACTCAATAAATCTTTGTTGAATGGATAAGTGACTGAGTTTAACTATCTGGCCTCATTTCATAACCTGCAAAATTCAGAAAACAGCATCTATGAATACTGTGCTGAACAAACGAAATAAATCATGAAAAACTGTTGTTAAAATATAAAACACAATATACATTGTAGATGCTGACAGATACTATGATATATAGGTTCTTAGAGATGTACACAGGTTTGAGATGTTCTCTTTCTTAAATACTTCCCTGGACCTGAGGAGAGGTAAAAGTCTCTGTTAAGAATCCAGTATAAGACTAACCCATCAAGAATGCAGTTCAGTATTTTGTAGCATCTAAAGCTGCTACTGTGTGGATCACAATAAACTGTGGAAAATTCTGAAAGAGATGGGAATACCAGACCACCTCACCTGCCTCTTGAGAAACTTGTATGCAGGTCAGGAAGCAACAGTTAGAACTGGACATGGAACAACAGACTGGTTCCAAATAGGGAAAGGAGTACGTCAAGGCTGTATATTGTCACCCTGCTTATTTAACTTATATGCAGAGTACATCATGAGAAACGCTGGGCTGGAAGAAGCACAAGCTGGAATNGAATGGCATCACCAACTCAATGGACATGGGTTTGAGTAAACTCCAGGAGTTGGTGATGGACAGGGAGGCCTGGCGTGTTGCGATTCATGGGGTCGCAGAGTCGGACATGACTGAGCGACTGAACTGAACTGAAAGTTGCTCCACTTCATCCACATCCAGTGACTGAACTTTAATGATAATGCTCATCTAATTTTTCCTTCATGATAAAGAAATTCCAGATGGTGACAATGGCAATCTAGTCCCGGCAATCTAGAAATCTGGGATCAATACTGCTTCTTTGTCGAAGTGGGTTCTGTCTATACATGGGCTTCCCTGGCGGCTCAGACAGCGTGAGAACTTGCCTGCAATGTAGGAGACCCGGGTTTGATCCCGGGTTGGGAATCCTCTGGACAGGGAAATGGCTACCCACTCCAGTACTCTTGCCTGGAGAACTCCATGGACAGAAGAGCCTGGAGGGCTACAGTCCACAGGATTGCAAAGAGGTGGATAAAACTCTTTCCACTATTCCCATCCTCCTTAAGACCTTCTGGATGACTTACACTGTGGCTGAGATACAAAGTGTCTCATGCCACTGCTCCCCATCAGTGTGGTCTTCAGTCACACCATGGCAATCCACAAGAGGAGAAAATAATCAGGTATCTGGGCCCATTTAATACAGCCTAGCAATATGGTACAAGCAGGATTGAATAACATACTCTAGCGGTCTTTAGGGAATGGCTAAGGGTAGAGATCCTTAAATTCGAGGTTCATTTAGCAAAGAGCAAAAAGAGTTTTGATGGCAAAAAAGTAAATACTAAGTGCTGAAGAGTGGTGTGGACAGGTCTCAAAATGCTTTTAGTGTTTTTTTTTTCTGTCTTTAGAATCACATTGGCAGCATTAAGGAATGAGGTAATCCTGGCTTGGATATGTAGAAGCCCTTCCAAAAGTAACTACACCATATAAATTTTGAAACAAAGGAACTAAGATACTATTTATAACAGAGCAATAGAGGAATGTAAAACCATGTTAGAATCCCCTGAAGTCTGGTTCTGGTGGGGCACATTCTCAGCCTCAGTTCTAGTATCCGAGGAATTCACCCAATGACCAGGCTTCCCAGGTGGCGCTAGTGGTAAAGAACTTTCCTGCCAGTGCTGGAGACATACAAGATATAGGTTTGATCCCTGGGTCAGGAAGACACCCCTGGAGGAGGGAATGGCAACCAACTCCAGTATTCTTGTCTGGAGAATCTCATGGACAGAGGAGCTTGGCAGGCTATAGTCTGCAGGGTCGCAAAGAGTCGGACATGACTGGAGCTTCTACACACACACACACACACACACACACATGCACGCACGCACACACCCAACGACCTCAGAAGCCACTTTTTTAGGATGCACACACTTTCTCAAATCATGTTGAATCATCCATTTTGTATCTTTTCTTACCTGTTTTTGCTCTTCACCCAAACCATCCCACATGGAAGCCACAATTTTAGAAACTTCACCAAAGGTAGCATTTGGATTTTGGCCCTTGATGGCAGCCTGAGTATCACGGAAGAATAACGCATAGGCAGACACTGGCTTCTGTGGCTCATTAGGGTCCTTCTTCTTCTTCTTTTTGGGGGTTTTTGGTTTTTTCCCCATGTCAGAGGCAGGTCGTTTCTCTCCACCATTGATCTGAAATAAAACAAAATCTGAATTATAGAAGAACTAAACAAATTTAGGGCAGATTATATTGCTCTTCCTTGAAACTTACCCAAGTATCCTCACCCATACACATCACATAAACACAGATATTTCTAAGGGCCACTTGGTTTTGTTTTTCCTGTTTTTCAAGTAAAACTTCTTATTTTATGTAATTTTCATATTCATCCTCTTCCAGCCTAATTTACATAGCTTTAACACAATCTTACTGATTCTCTTTATAATACTATTGTACCATTAGATATTATAACTTAACTCTCTCAGCTTTTCCTTTTTCTCCTGCAGGAACTGAATGACAAGCAGCACTGTGACTATGACAGCAGGAGATCGCTCCTGTAGTAACCCCACTGTATGAACATTCCAACCTGTTTTCTTTTGGGGAGTTTATCCTTTTCTTCCTAATTATATACATTTTTTGACTGGGCTGGGTTTTCCCACTCTGTGGGCTTTTCTCTAGTTGTGGCAAGTGGGGGCCACCCTCCAGTTGCAGTGTGAGGGCATCTCACTGCGGTGGCTTCTCTTGTTGGGAAGCAAGGGCTCTTGGGCGTGCAAGCTTCAGTGGTTGTGGCTCCCAGGCCCCAGGGATCGAACCCATGTTGCTGGCAGGCAGACTCTCCATCACTGAGCCACCCAGGATGCCCCTAATTATGATTTTTAAACGATAGTGGGCAACATATCCAATGAATAAAGTTGAGTGGCTCCTGGTGTTGCACTTAGGTCTGTGGAATGCTGCTGAGAAATCCTAGTAATGCTCATGGCTTAGCATGGCATAATCCAGACCCTAGATCAGTGCTGTCCAACAGAACTTTCTGCTAATGGGGTAAAGTTCTAAAATCTGTGCTATTCATTTAAGGTAATTATTGATAGGTATGGTCCCGTTGCCATTTACTTTGTTGTTTTGGGTTCACGTTTATACAACCTTTCTGTGTTTCCTGTCTAGAGAAGATCCTTTAGCATTTGTTGAAGACCTGGTTTGGTGGTGCTGAATTCTCTCAGCTTTTGCTTGTCTGTAAAGCTTTTTAATTCTCCTTCATATCTGAATGAGATCCTTGCTGAGTACAATAATCTAGGTTGTAGGTTATTCTCTTTCATTACTTTAAGTATGTCCTGCCATTCCCTTCTGGCCTGAAGGGTTTCTATTGATAGATCAGCTGTTATCCTTATGGGAATCCCTTTGTGTGTTATTTGTTGTTTCTCCCTTGCTGCTTTTAATATTTGTTCTTTGTGTTTGATCTTTGTTAATTTGATTAATATGTGTCTTGGGGTGTTTTGCCTTGGGTTTATCCTGTTTGGGACTCTCTGGGTTTCTTGGACTTGGGTGGCTATTTCCTTCCCCATTTTAGGGAAGTTTTCAGCTATTATCTCCTCGAGTATTTTCTCAAGGCCTTTCTTTTTGTCTTCTTCTTCTGGGACTCCTATGATTCGAATGTTGATTCAATATGGTTGTCACTAGCGACACATAACTAATGAGCATGCGAAACGCAGCCAGCAGGAACAAGAAACAAAATTTTAAATTTTATACAATTTTAATTGCTTTAAATTTAAATAGCTAAATGTGGCTAGTAGCTACCATATTGGAGAGTGCATCTCTGGAAACTAGACTCTCAAATCTAGACATTTCTAGCACAGCTTTAACACTCAGTTTAAGGAAAGATTCCATTTCTTCCCATTGTCCTTGAGTATGAATATTGGGATAATCTAAATTGTTATTCTGATGCAAGTGGGAAAAAACACAATGTATTTTAGACATCTGCATTTGAACTTGTATACTAACTAGTTAATATATGATGTCACTTTATCTACATCTATAGAATGAGATGTCCGGGCTACAATTTCTTTCTATTCCTAGAATTACATGAGTCTACGTGAGCACTGAGTAGTGCTGTCTCTGGAGGAATCCTCTCTCCACCCCCTCTCCCACCAGCACAAGGGCCCCCAGGCACCATCCCCTGATGAAGTCACCATCATCAGGGAGGTCCTGCACCATCACGTCTATCCCTGGGATGGCTGTTGCTTTTCTCTTCTTGGCAAACACGCAATATGTATCTTATTCAGATAAATTGCCAGGCAAGGTAATCTGTGTGAAATAACAGCCACCACTGGATAGGAAGCATGAGCTCCTGAGAGGCTGGTGGATATAGTAACATCAGAAGATCCACACTCATGTTCTCTGTTACTACGTTTAGCTGTGAAATCTTGGCAAGTTACATCATTTTTCTGGGCCTCCATTTCCTCTACTGCAAACCAGTTGCAGTGCCATTGTGTGATTACTGAGATGATATATACGTAATGTGGTTAAAATTTTAAAATGGTATTCAGATGTTAATTATGACACAGTAATAACTTTTTTTTCCACTTATTTTTATTTGTTGGAGGCTAATTACTTTACAATATTGTAGTGGTTTTTGTCATACATTGACATGAATTAGCCATGGATTTACATGTGTTCCCCATCCCGGTCCCCCCTCCCGCCTCCCTCTCCATCCCATCCCTCTGGGTCTTCCCAGTACACCAGCCCTGAGCATCCGTCTCATGCATCCAACCTGGGCTGGTGATCTGTTTCACCCTTGATAGCATACTTGTTTTAATGCTGTTCAGAGTAATAACTTTTTACTGAATGAATGGAAAGAAATGACCTTAACACTAATTTGTGATTCCATATGGTCATGGCTTAAAAGATATGCCCTGAGAACCAGAGACAGGAAAAAAAAAAAAAACTAAGCAAATTCTTTGGCTTTGTCTTTAGTTAAAAAGTTATTTAATAGATTATTGTTTTGAAACTGTCAGCTGAAGCAGATAAACAACCCTTTGGGGATAGGATGCTCTGAACCTAGCAGACAAACTGACATAGATTAACACTAGAAGGTGACTTACCCAGGAAGGGTTTCATGTGATCCTGTGAAATGTCTGGTCCTCAGGTTAATGAGCCAAAGGACAAGAATGCTGGGACTGGACTGAGTGGATACTGGGCAAACTGGGGTAACGGCTCTAAACTAAACACATAGTAAATATGACCTAGATGCTCATTATCAATGGTTGAATGTTAGAATTGCCTGGGAAACTTTAAAGTAATACCCTCATGTCCAGGCTTTAGCTCTATACAGGAGAATCTCCTGCTCTTAGACTCTGTGATTTAATCAGTATAGAGCTAAAGCCTGGACATGAGGGTATTACTTTAAAGTTTCCCAGGTGATTCTAACATTCAACCATTGAAAATGAGCATCTAGGTCATATCTAAATCAGAGCGTCTAAGAGCAGGAGACACTGGCCTTAGTCACCCTTAACTCTGCTCCTCCAACTGCTTTTTGATACTTCAGGCATGCAACAAACAAACAAGCAAACCTTCTCTTTGCCCCAAGGCTACACAGAGCCACAACTTTCTTCAGTCAGACTCCTCCACATGGTTATGCTGACTGTAGGCAACTCACTGTGCCTTCCCATCACTTAGGCTCTCAAAAACGTCACCAAAGACCACAAAGATAAATCCAGGGAACTTTTCAATCTTCCCCTAACTTGATTTCTCACAGTGAGTGTCCTGACTCTTCCAAGAGCTCCATGACATCATAGTCTTCTGATTTTATGCCTACCTTGCTGTCCTCACTGTTTCTAGAATCATTTTTAGGTCCATCCTCCTCTACCTGGCCACTAAATGGTAGTGTACCTGATTTTTTTTTTGCTGTAGACTGTCTTCTCCTATGAATTTGTATTTAGGGAGTCTCTTAAGATGCAGAGTTTCCAGTAACAATTGTGAGTGGATGAGTGTCAAGTTCATTTCCTCTGAATTTTTGAATGCATAAAATCCATTGCTATTTGACATCTTTATCTTCTTTGTATGCTTTATAATTTCCAAATGTTCTAAACATAACTATTTCTATATTCAAAACAATAAAATATCAAGAAGAGAAACAAAAAGAATTCAAGAGAGACCACAATGAAGAATGCTACAAGTGAAGGGATCATGAAATTGGAAGTATATTTCATCAAGGATTGGAATATGCAGACAATGGGAACACAGTGTATGGAAATAAATGCTTATCCACATGGAATATTTACCTGGACTCCCTATAAGTTTTAATGGAAAAAGTTTCAATTTTCAAGATTTCAGATCTGACACATTGAAGTCTCCATGACTGCAGATTATATCAATCTTTGTAGAAAATAATCAAATGTCAGTTATACAGAGAAATTTCCTATGACTCACTGCAAATGTTTTTATTAAAAGATTTCCCCCAAATAATTTAAATTGTTTCCCTATTGCACTGTCTAAAATTGTGTTTGAATTGTTGATCTTTTTTATTGAAGGATGATTGCTTTATAGAATTTTGCTGTTTTCTGTCAAATCTCAACATGAATCAGCCATAGGTATACATATATCCCCTCCCTTTTGAACCTCCCTCCTATCTCTCTCCCCATCCTACCACTCTAGGTTGATACAGTGCCCCTGTTTGGGTTTCCTGAGCCACACAGCAAATTCCCATTGGCTATCTATTTTATATATGGAAGTGTAAGTTTCCATGTTACTCTTTCCATATATCTCACCCTCTCCTCCCCTCTCCCCATGTCCACAAGTCTATTCTCTATGTCTGTTTCTCTACTGCTTCCCTGTAAATAAATTCTTCCATACCATTTTTCTAGATTCTGTATATGTGTACTAGAATACGATATTCATCTTTCTCTTTCTGACTCACTTCACTCTGTATAATAGGTTCCGGGTTCATCCACCTCATAAGAACTGACTCAAATGCATTCTTTTTTATGGCTGAGTAATATTCCATTATGTATATGTACCATAACTTTTTTATCCATTCATCTGTCAATGGACATCTAGGTTGCTTCCATGTTCTAGCTATTGTAAATAGTGCTGCAGTGAACAATGGGATATATGTGTCTTTTTCAATTTTGGTTTCTGGGGTATATGCCGAGGAGTGGGATTGCTGGGTCATATGGTGGCTTTATTCCTAGTTTTTTAAGGA